AAAATGGTCCTTTTTACAAGAAAAAGGATAAAAATGGAATTAAAACCTCCAGAACTCATAAACTCAAAGCTAAACTTTGCTACAGAGGTGAAGTACCTAGGTCTCACCTATGACAAAAAGTTAACATGGAACTCACACTTAGAAAACAGAGTTGCTTATAAAAAATGCCGCCGAACCGTGGGACGCACCTGGGACGCATAAGCCATATAAAATTATAACAGAACAAATAAAAGAGCCGGAAGTGTGGCAGGTACGATTCATATTTACATCTTAACATAAATTGGAATGTAAGCAGTAGTGCCAGTATAGTTAAAACCGAGCTCACGGGGATTCTCATAGTAGCAAAAGAAATCACCAGAAATAATATCACTGGAAGAAACATGCTCATCTATACAGATAGCAGACAATGCTACTCATCCTGGACATACCACTAATTTATTCAGGGTTAGTACTACAATGTCAAAGGTCCCGCCACATCAAAAGTTAACCGTCTTGCTGATTCACTTGCCAAGAAGGCAACCAACCAAATACTTTTTGGACCTGGCCCCTCTATTGGACTGACAACATCGGTAGTGACAAACCTAATTAAAGAACATTCCCTTGTAAAATTAAAGGAAAGATGAGATGAAATAAGAAGCTGCAGACTTGCCAGGGAGCTTTTAAGTTATCCTGACAGCACTACATCGAACAAATACTTGACTATGACTAGACAGAATCTGCACCTGATCACATGCATTCTAACTGGACATTGCCAAAGACGGAAGCTTCTCCATATCATGGGGCTGTCAGAATCCGCAGGGATGCGAACAAGAAGATGAGACCATGGACATATCCTCTACGATTGCCCGACGCTCTAATTTATTAGAAGATTTGTATTCGGCGAGAATTGGCTAACACCGGCCGATATAAGAAAATCACCTCTTGGCGACGTTGTCAACTACATTAAATCTGTAGGCTGGCTCACGAGATACGAGGTGCCTATCTACTTAAGAGGATGCACAATGGGCCTAGTAAGGCTTAAGTGCCGTGGGTTAACCCACCCTCCACACGTTACAAATGTTCTTCTTTTTGTTACAACATAAAATCTTGTTGCGGTGTGTTTCGCCAGAATCTTATCACCTTTCACGCTTTTTTACTTTCTCTTACCTAACATTCTCCTCTTATTTTATAATCAAATCAAGTAACCTTTTACAGTTTGGTCACTAAAGCGGCCTTCTATATTCAAACAGGTTTTACAACATTTTTCTAGGGGTAGTAAGTACATTAATTATTATTATAAAGATAGTAGAACCGGGGGATCGAGCGTCTTCGACACTTCAAATTTTGAGAAGATTTCAAAAGTTACACAAGGCGCGTAGCGCCGCGTGTATCATTTAAATAGTAAATTTTTGCAAATTAAAAGTGTAAGAAGTTTGAAAAAATGTATATAATTATATGTCATTAAATATATCATAATTTTCATCTTCCTTCTTGACCGGGTTCATCTTGGGGCTGTGGATCTAGCATCTGTTTCAATATTATATTACGAGTCCACGGAGCCTTTATAGGATTGAAAATTACTTTGATTGAACTTTTACGCGTGACTCGAGAAAATGTAACATAGAGCTGGTCATGCGTAAACACATCCGTCGTTAGATAAATGCCGATAAATTCGAAGGTTTGGCCTTGTGACTTATGGATGGTTATAGCAAAAGCTGGCTTTACAGAGAGAATTGGTGGCGTTCCATGGTGAATCCCAGACCTTTGACGGTTTCTAAAGTCATTCGTGGAATGTAGGCAACTCTCCCTTTGTGTTCTCTAGTCACAATTTAATTTGTAATCTTTGACATCTAGACGATTTCGTTCATTTAAATTTTCGATCCAATGCTATATCTCGGGAACCACAAAAGTAGGTACCATGATTTTGGTGTCATTTTGCTTCTTTAAGTGTCCCTAGCTTATATCTGAGTTCGATAAGGTTTTGACTTTCTCTATCCCGAGATCGCAGCAGGGACAGACAGACATTGGCACTTTAATATAGTAGGATATATAGATAATATAATAGTACAATGTCATGGTCTTGTTAATAATTACCTTACAAATTACTTAGGACTGATTTTTTCACCTTTACTGGATATAACAAAATATTTCACATACCACTAAATACCCAGTAAATGGCGATCGCCAATGAATTACTTCGCCAAGTGATGACGCAGCTGTGTTCTTATATATACCGGGTGTTCAAATTAAAGTGTTACAGCTAAACACCGCCTTTTATAAAAAGAACGTTTCAGACGAAAGTTTTATAGTTTTGTGGGGAAAAATTTTTGGCTAAACTCGTTTTTTATAGCTAACCATAATATGGCCAACTTTTTTTTCGCTCAGCAAAATTTTCAAGTAGCTGTTACTCAAAAAGTAAAAGTCCAATAAAAAAAATATTTTCATCAAAAGTTTCTTATTTTTTTATGTACTTTAAGAATATGTAAAAAAATGGGATTCCCATTTAAAAAAACAAAGTCTGCCTCGATATGGCCATATTGTGGTCAGCTAGGAAAAAATGAATTTAGCCAAAATGTTTCCCCCAAAAAACTATAAAACTTTTTTTTCTAAAATGCATATTTTCGGCGGTATTTAACTGTAACACTTTAATTTGAACACCCGGTATATATAAAGTGTACTCGCAGTATAATGGAATAATCGGTTTTTTGAGTGTTATAAAAAAAATAAGGTAAACAGACGTATACATTTTTGATATCGTGCTTCGAAGGGCACGTGAACCCCACACGATGGAATCAGAATTTTTTTTAACCTCAAATTTACCGCATCCTCAAAACTGACGCTCAAGGTAACTACTGTTTGTTCCATCTAAACCTTATTATCAACGTTCGTGTTTGTTCAGATTTTTCTGAGCGGTCCTTTTAGAGATATTTTGAAAAAACAGAACAGGACGTTTTTTCGAAAAAGCACTAAAGAAAAAGTAAGGCAAACGAACGTATTATATTTTTTTGAAATCGGGCTTCAAAAAGTTTTTATTTGATACCTCACACGATGGCACCAGAACGTTATCTTTTACCACCTACCCAGAACTAGACCCCTAAGAGTATTTTTTTAATCTGCATTTCGGTGCATTAGTGTCGAAAATTATTAAAATGCACTTTTTTCTCAGAATCCTTTAAAAGTAAACCAAATATTATACAGGGTGTCTCATTAGTGCCTAATTGTTCAATATTTCAATTTGTGTTATAGACACGAGTGGCAAAGTTAAGTTGAATTTACTCAATTCTTTCAAACGCAACACCATGTATATTAGTTTAGCATAAAATTCCTTATGAATTTGCCTATTTAACGATACCAACATGTTAGCCAATAACACATATGCAGGGTGTACCATCGGTGCGTAATTGATCTACCAATAGCTGTTTTATTATTGGAAATACTGAAAAAAAAAAATAATATAAAAGTTGTATGACCATATTTAACATTTATTCTTAAATATGCATGGTGATTTATAATGAGCGGCTGATCAAACCTATTCATTTTTAAAGCAAAACATCCTACAGGTAGTTATACATATTCGATTGTTTTCACATCATTAAACAATTTTAATAGACTTCAATTATTTGCTATGTTGTATATAGGGTGTGCCAAAATGGGAGGTTTCCATTTTCTCAATTTTTTAAATAGAATACCCTTGTATCTTATGTCACCAATTAATTAATACCATTTAAAATATGAGAAAAACGTAACCTCGCAGTTTGTTACACCCTATATACAACATAGCAAATAAATGAAATCAATTAAAACTCATTGACAATGTGTAAATACTTGCTTTAAAAAACTATAGGTTTGGTCAGCCCCTCATTTATGGACCACCCTGTATATTTAATAATTGTTAAATATGGTCATACAACTTTTATTTTACTTTTTTCTCGTATTTTCAATAATAAAACAGCTACAGATCAATTACGCACTGATGGTACACCCTGTATGTGTTATTGGCTAACATGTTGCTATCGTTGAATAGGTAAATTCATAAGTAACCTTATGCTAAAATACACAGGGTGTTGCATTTAAAAAATTTTAGTAAATTGAACTTAAAATTAGCCATATTTAAGACATTTTTCAAAACACTCTGTATAAAATAAACCAGTTCTATCACCACTATTCGTTAGCTTAGTATCTTATAAGTCTGTATACTACACAATTTTGAAATCAATGCAAACCTACCTAAATAATGATAATTTATTTTGGGGACTGCACCGTCCTGTAATTTCATAAAAAAAATTAATTGCTTGACAAACCTGTAATATTTCGAAGAAAAATTATAGGGTTGAATATAGTATTACTAAACCATTCTAAAACTGGAATAAAGTACAGGGTGTTCAATTTAAAAAATATACATTTTGATTTGCAAGGCAAAAACGCAACCCCCTGTATATCCAACAATATTTTTAAAATATGTACCGATTCCTCATATAGACTAAATAAGGCATCTAAACATTAATAAGTCGTATGCAAGTAGTTGTTAACTAAACTTTTTCACAACAAACGCCTACATTAAGATGGGTAAGGTTAGCGAACCATGTTGCAGGAAGTAAAATGCAGAAGGAAATCGTCATATAATCTGCGGCTGTGAAATTCTTAAAAACTGTAAGCAGAAATACGTTGAATAGACGTAAGTCACGCAATACATTAAAAAATTAATTAATTAATTGTCTTTATCTAACATTTTAGAAGATAGATAACTTTGCATAAAAATAATATCAGTTCAAAACCCTAAACCAGAGGATAGGAAAGAACGGAAAAGATAATAAGGTAAGAATTTAGTTTAATTTTATTTATCACGTAATATGAAAGTGACAATTATTTACCAATTAAAAATATAATTGTAATAACGGGTAAATTATGCCAACGTAACTTAGCAAACACAATAAAGTTACTTTCTATTTCTTCTGATTATAATTAATGATTTTTAGGTTAACTATCTTAGAATAGACATAAACAAACACCTCTTGATCTACCTTTAAAGAATTACAATCCAAACAATGTTCGAGTATATATTTATGTATATGAATCAATCACAAAACCACTCACTTCACAACAAACATAAAACTGTTTAAATTAATTTTGTTATTGTTGTTATCATATCAGCTGTTTCTGACTGAACTGCTCACTATCAAGACGGCTGGCGAGTTTATAGTCGCGACTTGCCGCAAGCAAGCCACTTCGACTTATTTTAGTTTAGTTTGTTGTTATAAAGCGCAGCGTTTATACCAAGGACGACGATATTTATTTATTCTACTTAATAATCTAATGATCTCTGTGATATTATTACATATATTTCCTGGATTTTCGAAATTAGATCAAATAATATACAGGGTGGCGTGTTTATAATAATTTCTCGTTTTTTGATATATTTTATTTTTCACGTCGATATTTATTTATTCTATCTAATAATCTCTATGATAATATTATTACAGATATTTCCTGGATTTGCGAAATTAGATCAACATAATATACAGGGTAGCGTACTTATAACAGTTTTTCGTTAAGACACTGGAAATACAGTACTAGAAGTAATAAGGCTAAAATGGTGTGTAATAAAAAGAAAATAAATTGCATTCGACTGATTTATGCTTAATACGTTTTAATGTTTTAATAATAAGGATTTACAATATATGCCATACAACATACTTGTTTTAGATATTTATTTCTAACTCTTCGGATTTTGATTGGGGATCTGCAATATATTAACACGTTGACGGACACATGTGAATAGGTGGAGATGCTTTTTGTGACACTATTGCAACTTCACTAAATTTTGCAATATTAAAGTAACACTTATATAATATATGTTATTTGACTTCTAAAAAAGCTGAATAATATAAAAAAAAACAACGGCTATAGACGTCACTGTCACATACTAGACATTTTTCTATACTATTTGTAACGTAGACGTCCATAGACGTCGGTATAAATAAAACACTAGAATTACGCAAATGTTTATTTGAAAACTAATCAAACTAATCCTAAATGAAAATGAAAAATAATAATGAAATGAAATAATAATGAAAAATGTATATGTTTTATAAATTGCATGCATGTATGTATAAGTAAACAAAGTATCTCGTTTCCCGTCTTATTTTGTTTTTCGTACATTCCCTACATTTCAGAAATAAATTGGGTTTTTTATAATCCTGAGGAACTGAAATATTTTCCAAAAAATGCTGATTTGGGCTAGGAGCAGTTATTCTTCTTTTTATTGGACCTTGTTTGACACATTTCCTGCCATCTTGGATATCTTCAATTTGAAGAAAATATCGAATAACGGCTAACGCCATACCACATGCTGATTACTGACTGAAATACTAAATGCCAGAGGCCCGCAGAGGCGCCCCGCATAAACCGTTATGACGCCATGTACTGACTATCCCCACCTCTCACGTCAAATGCACAGAGTCAATTTAGTGTGCTTGATATGACACTTTACCGATTTACGATTCAAATCCGACGTCTGTAGAAGTTATTGCCGAGCTATGGAGGTATTATAAAAGACGTCCACAGACGACCTTAAATTAAGTTGTCACGGAGCGCACATTGTCAATAACATAGATGTCGTTGTCCATCAACGGGTTAAATTCATAATTTTCATACTCAGGTTTACGTCGTTTAACTTACATTGGAAACATAACTCACGCAGTCGAAGATATGGGCTTAGTACGCATCAATGCTTTTCTCATATATACCGATTAGAGGTGGGAAGTTCGAATCTTTTTACTGAATTAATTCATTTGATTCATTCACCTAAAAAGATTCGTTCTTCAAGATTCGTTCTCAAGTGATTCACTTTAGCGAACCACGAACGATGTTATTCCGCCGATCCGGCGAAGGAAATCGAACCGAACTTTTACGAATTTGAGTACTACCTAACCTACCTACCTACTAGGTCGTTGAGTAAAATAATTATAACCAGATTTATTTTAAAGTAAAGCGAATTAATGTTTCATATTTCATAAAAAAAAGGCAGCTGAATAATAAATACATCCTTATCCGTTAAGATAAACAACAATAACACAATTTTTTTTAAATGCCAAATATATAGCCAAAATTAACGCAAAATTATATATTCACGATTCGTCATTTTTTGTTTTAATTTTACTTTGATTTAAATTTATTTATCAGACAACACGCATAAATTGTTTACCTAAGCTTAATACACACCTCCTGTAAAGTGAGAAAAACATTAAAGACACATACCGCCACCGCCTGTCAGTTAGAGTTCTCGTATTATGCCGTAGAACGTAGAACAAAAGCGACCAATTTGCCGATGCTGATGTAAAATACCAAATACCGAATCCGAATCGAATGAACGAAGCAACCAAACTCGGAACTCGGCGTGTTTGATCGATCGCAGAGCCATCGAGCAATTGACTCAAAAAAGATTCGAATCTTTTAAAAACAGGGAATCAATTCATTCGAGTCAGTGCACTGATTCGTTCTTTTTGAACGAATCGTTCGCGAACGACACACCTCTAATACCGATGCTGTAGAGAGGTATTTGAAGAATTGGGAACGAGCCTGAAACAGCGTCCGAATTAGCACACCAAATTTCTGTCAAGGAATCTCGAAAGTCAATAGCATCATGGTCTAGCGGTAAGGGCTTTTGTCCAGAGAACAAAGATGTCTGGCGAAGTATTTGTTTTCGCCTTTGGGGTTCGGGGATGGTCTTAATAATTCGTAAGAAGATTTTTAAAATTTGTTTTCCAATTTTAAATTATTCTACAACTTATTTCAGATATTTCTGACTTTTCAAATTTCGATTTGCGATCTACGATATATCAAATTCACAATTTTCACTTGCATGTTTGTAAATTGTGGCAGAAAAATCGGTGTTCTAACAGCAACAAAATGTATATATTACACAGAAAAAAATTATCATCTACAGTCAAGAAAAGCTTTACACTTGGAAGATTACATTTGTTTGAAATAAAGCAGAGTTTGCTTCAAATAATATTATTTCTCGATACAATAAAAAAATAAATGTTGAGTGAAGTATAGACATAATCTTGTATTTTAAGAGTTATAATAATAAATCTGAGAATAAATTATTTCATTCGAGCAAAGAATTGTGAATTATTTCAAAAAAGCTTTTACGTTTATTATAAGTATGATACGCTCTTAAAACCGACTATTGCGTACTTGATTCAATGTTATAAAAGGATTCGATTCAAAGCATTTAAATTTCAGAACAAGAATTAAACAATTCGAATCAAAAACCTATGTACTTCACAAAAGATTAGCTAGTACAAATTCACTGCACGGTGTTGCCAGCTGAAACTTATTTTAAAATGCAACCACTGCACTGATACTGTAGATATATGACTGGCACATGTTGAGATGTGATACTTATTATTCGGAAGTCATAGGCAAAACGCATTTATAGAGAATCTGGCAAATTGGCATTAGCACGTGTTCATCCTATTGTCCATTTTCTAACATGTTTGCATCGTATCGTTAGGGTTGCGTTTTACTTTTTGTTAGAAATTCTTTGTGATTTAATTAATAAGTGTATGAATAAATTAAATTGAAATGGAATATTTGTTAAATGAGCGACCTGATACTGATATTTAAATGTAAGTATATTTAGTTCACTTCTTGTTAGATATTATTATATATAAATAAATTTATAATCATAAGAACACGAATCGAACTGGAGTAGAAGTAAAAAAATGTATGATACTGGATGACGACTTTTTGGAAAGACGACTTCTGCCTTGCTAAGAAAAGAGGTCGTATCTACGAAAATTCTGATTTCAAGATTCTTACAAATTTAATAAACTTACATTTTATTTTATTACAACACAAAATAATAAAGGCCTATTTGCATTAGAAAATATTTACTAAAAACCCACATTTACTAAAAATATTCATTTTGTAGATACGACCTCCTTAGTAGGGCAAACTTTTATGTTCCATTTGGGTTTTGAAGTTATAAAATTATTTATTATTTAATTATAGGTGGGACACCTCAGAGAACAGAGGAATTTGGTATATTAACCAAAAACAATTTTGAAAAATATTTAAAAAAGCTGAAGACTTCTTATTTCAAGATTATTAATTTCTTCAATGAAACTATCCTATAATTCATCCAAAATCAATATATTTATGTCAAAGATCATATTATTATTGTATCGCTGAAAATATGGGCCCAGAATTTATTAATAAATTGTTGAACACGCAGTAACATTAATGATTCTATAAAACAATAATCAGTCTTTACAAATATTTTTAATTAAAATAGAATAAGATTTTCTTTATAATCTGTTTCGAAATATTTTCTACGTCTCTATTCCATTTAAATGCAAAATCAACATGTGATTACGAAAAAATTTTCATAACAATATATGCGCACTTCGATTTTTTCGCACCGTTTTGTTTTCAAAAAATAAAAACAGTAATAAATACACATGCAAGATTATGATGTAAAGTCGGAGAGTCTAGCATGTTTATTTATTAATTTATTGTGTGTCTAATTGCGTTTTGGTTTTTCGTATAGTGAATGTAACAAACTTTACATCGTTATCTCCATGACCGATAACAACTACGTAAGTCTGGAAAATACACAGTGAAACGGTGAATTTATATAAAAGTGTTATCTGGAGATATCGTTAACATTTTTTGCGGTTTTATTATAATTATTTGAATTTTTTAAATGTTAAGGTGTTGCAGGGGTAGGTACTATTCTTTTTCATAGTAAAAACAGAATGCGAGTACAATGAAGTTGAGTACATGGTGCATGTAATCCCATAGGAGCAGAAGTTTAGGGTGTCCCAAATAAATAGAAAAAATAGTTTAAAATAAAAATTAGGATTTATAAAAATTGCTCGATGTGTCGTCGGCCAGCAATTATTTGAATACCAGCCAGCATTACATCTATTCTTTGAGCAATTAAGGCTCCTTCTTTGTGAACTGGGGTCTCATATACAAGACTTTTCAAGTGACCCCACATATAAAAATCTATTGGGTTCAAGTCAGGTATTCACTTTTCTTTTGTTTTCCAAGAACTTTCTTACAAATGCGAGATGTAACGTAATTTAGCGTTTCGATGACAAACTACATAATGTACTTTCGTGTACAAAAATTTCTATTTTTACAGCTCCTACACGCTCTAGAAGTAAGTAGTATACAGGGTGCTACTGTATTCGACCGACAACGCTCTACCCCAGAGATTGATTAATTGATGAA